CTATGTAAGATCTGAGAACATCAATATTCAGGCAATGATAATTTCTTATGTTTGACTTAAACAATTAGGCAAGGTTTCCAGGACTAAAAATCGATTTTTTATTTATTTTTTTAACTAAACTGAATATGTATCCGTTTTGAAGGATATCAAAAACAATGGCGTAGTAAGTTTTTCGTTTCTTCTGGCCTATACAAATGTTATCTAATATAAAGAAATCTTCAGTAAGAATACAGTCCTTTGAGTTCCAAACCAGCTCATCGAATCACTAATAAAAATATTGCACCACATTATAGGAGATAGTCCCAAATAGTGCAACTAAAATCTGCCATTCTACCAATGCCTGATTTACCTATAGGCTGGTGTAGGCTGCAGCCTACAGGCCCCTACCAACTAGGGGCCCCCACCATGTTAACAACATTTTTTTAATGAAAACTATTTTTTTTAAAGATTTTATTTAAGACCCATCATGAACAAGAAAAAAAAATTATTCTGAAAAATATAATTTTTTATTCTTAAAATTTGAATTCTATCAATTAAGATATGATTCTTAAGAGTTGCCACTAGAGGGACAAAACGTATAAAATAAGAATATTTTTTTTTTGGGGGGGGGGCTACCAAAAAGGATTTTTTTTTTCTAGAATAGGCCCCCATCAATTTTCAGCCTACAGGCCCTCACCACTGTAAATCAGGCACTGCATTTTACTAATATAGAATCAGAAAATGCCTTTTGAAGGAGTATGTAATTGGAATTTACAGTAAAAATTTAAGTAATTTCTTCTCAGAAATTAAATCGGAATAACTTTTTAAGTTTGCAGATGAATAAAACAAACTTGAGCACGGTAAGTGATAAACTTTTAGGACTTAGGATTCCTCCCTTCAAAACTAACACAAAGAAAACACGATTAACATTATTTCCTAAAAGGATTTTCTCTGACCTTTCAAAGATTCAGGCCCAAATTCATAGATCTCACTAAAGTTCCACTCACACTTATCTCATACTCAACTCACCCTAATCGTATTCATAAACAATTCTACTTCAATGAGTCACTTAAATCAAACTCAAATTGTCCTCACAAATGAGTACTGGGTGAGTGACATATTAGTGATGTTTGACATTTGCTTAAATCTTCCTAATTTATTAATTTTGTGGTTTCATAATAGTATAGCAGTATATTTTACAAACAATTAAGTCAAGGTATTCAATAAAGGATATTCTATACGTGAACGATATATAAATTATAATTATTTTTTAAAAATTAGTTCTGTTACATACATACATATCCTGTAAGATGGAAGACGATTTTTGGGAATTTTTCAATTATGTTGAAGATGTTGATGGTTTTTTACCTGTACCTAGGTAAGTAACTAAAAGTGTTTACCTATTGTAATTAGCAGTAATACTAATATTTCCATTTTATTTTCAGAATNCGTTTCTATTTATGTCTGTAGAAAAGGATATTCTTATAGATTTAGAAAATAATGAAATTATTGATGAGGTTGCTCAGAGAAGTTCCAGCCTTAAAAATTTATTATTATTTTAGTTAGGTACTAGGCATTTTTGTATTGAATCAACTTTATTTAGTATTTAGGTTGTCTCTTTTAGTTTAGTCTTTGTTTGTTTCTTGAAATTTTTATGGCATAACTGCTTATTAACACGTTAATAATTTCTTTAAGTTTTTTTTTTTCGTTTTTATTTGCTATTAGTGGGCAGGGTTTACTTAAAAATCCGCTTTTATCCGATAAATGATCTCTCTCTAATGCTTTTTCCAAAAATTATCCTTGTGTAAGTCTGTATATTTGTACAAATGGACTTTTTATTGAAATTATAAGGTGGCAGGAGAAAGCGTGATCTTGAAAATTTTCGCCTGCGGCGCCATTACAAAGCCACTAGTGGGCCGATATGAAAAATCGAACTCGGGCCGAAAAAATTTCCCAATCCGGCCCTGCTGACCTTTCAAAGATTCAGTGTGAAACAAAGTTCCTGATCAATGGCTCAAGAACCATTGAAGACAGAAACTTCAATTTGACATACCATGAGGAAAACTGATAGTACTAAAATAAAATTTGAATAAAACCTAAACAATAGGCAAGTTCGGTATTGACATCTAGATGCTCTAGATATATCTCTTTGTCTTTTCATCTCTTACAGTTAGAAAAGAACAACACACATCTGTTGCATCTAGATGTTAATGCCGAACTTACCTAATGATGGATTAATTGAGAAGGTCTGACAAGTTTCAACTCTCAAAATAAACTTATTTAGCGTCACAGTGCGCGATAGACGATTTTTTTGACAGATTAGATCATTTCCAATCAAGGCTTTTTGCAAACCTTTAGTTTTTTATATGGATAATGTCAATCAATTTCCACCAAGTAATTATGGAAAAGTTAAATATATTCGTCTAGTTATCTGTCATTGAAATAAGCACTAATTCGTCGTTATGATGGCATATATGACGCACATATATCATTAGATAGCGCAGTTTATACTTGTAAAGCCAATGATATATTGAACAGCTGGTGGCATATCTGACGTATACATACCGAGCAGTTGGTAGCGGTCAAGATATCACTATGATCAAGAGTGTACTGGTGGTTGCCCAAGACATGAATTGTTGATATTATGTTAACAAGAAGAATAATATTAAAAATATTTAGTAGTATTTCCAGAATAATTATAAAAATACACAAATTTGAATATTTTCTCCAACGTCAAATACCTTTTTTTAATAGTTGAAACTGTTTTTAATTCCAACGGGACTAGTTGAAGGAACTGTTCCATACCAAGTTTGAAGCATCCAGTGTTTCTTGGATTAATCAATCAAAAACTGTTTCGTGTCAAAACTGTATTCTGTCAAAAAATATCCGAAATTTGTCAATAAAACACAACATATTCAATTATGTAATAATCAAAATTTATTTTATCTCCCTCAAAATAGGCTCTATTTGAAGCAATACATTTTTTTCTAAGGAACAATCCAGTCGTTAAAGCATTTTTTAAACGCATATTCCGATATGGATTTCAACCCATCCAGAGATTTTTGTATTGACTTCTATCGACTCAGAACGTGTTCCACGAACTAGTAATTTGAGTTTGCAAAAAGGGAAAAAAGTCAACAGGAGCCATATCTGGCACCATATTCACCAGATGCTAGATGACATTCGTTGAGTCTTTGGTAAAAAAATTCATTCACAATTATCGCTTTATGTACATTGTCGTGATGTAAAATCCAAGAACTGTCCTTCCATAAATCTAGTCTTTTGTGAATATTCTCTCTCAGACGCCTCATAACGACCAGATAATCCAGATCCTGTCGACTGTTTCTTCATTCTGAAGGAATTCTGTGTGGGTAACACAACCATAGTCAAAGAAAACAGTCAACATGTCTTTGATTTTTGATCGACTTTGACGTGTTTTTTTTTTTTTTTTGGTTTCGGCTCATTAGAAAAGCGCCATTTCGAATCTTGTTGTTTACATGTCAGATTTGTAAACCCATGTCTCTCGTCACCCGTTATGATGCGTTGCATGAATGTAGTGTCTGAATTAGCTCATTCAAGCAACATGTTTGCGATGCTCTTTTTGAAGAAAATTCGGCTCTTTTGGAACCAGCCGTGTTGCGACGCGTTTGATACTCAAAATATCGACTAAAATGGTGCAAACTGATTCGTGAGATATGTTTAATTCATATGCCAGCTCTCTCAAACTATAATGACGGTTTGCAAGCACCATTTCCTTCATTTTATCGATATTTTCTTCAGTTGAAGATGTCGAAGGATGGCCGGAAGGTGGAAAATCATCAACCACTTCTCGACCATGTTTGAATGCTTTGTACCACACGTATGCTTGAGTTTTCAATAAAACTGAATTACGTACGTCTTTCCTAACATTTTCATCGATTCAGCACAATAAATTCCGTTGGTAGCACAAAATTTTAGGCAAACTCTTTGTTCAATAACATTATCCATAGTAAAAATCGCGGAACGCACTCCAGGTGGGCTAACAAACTTAACAGCTGTAAACAAACTACTTGACAAATCGCGCTCAAACTTCGGGTCAGAGTTATATAAACCTTATAAATTACTAGGTCTATGGTCAAAGTAGAGTAGTGTGCTACCAACTTTCCATCAAGAAAGAAATTTAAATCTACCTTTCGCAGAATTTTTAAATGACAAGTTCCGGATACTTTTTTGACCATCCATCCTTCGATAACTGAGCCAGTAATAAGGTTGTAATAGATTTTGAAAAAAAATTGACATTTATTTTTTACACCTTGATTATACGTATTCAATTATACAAGCGTACGTCGCTGCTAGGGTTCCTAATTCATCATCATCATGAACGTTGTGAAGAAATTGAAAAAAAGTACGTGGGCATGCATACATCTGGCGCAGGTTTTTATGTGCGAGTCGATGAACGTAGGTATTTAGTGGGGGGTTTTAGTTTTAGTTTTAGTTTTTTTTTTACTTATTTTGACGACATGTCTACATTCTATTGTATATTCATATTTCATTTATAGGTAACTGTTAAATAGATATTTTAAAATAAATTTACTAATAACTTCTGAAGTCTATTTCACGGCATAAATAGCAGATGTTTTAGTTTTATTAGCTACAATCACTAGGAATATTTACTAAAAAAAAATAGATATACGTTTGGTATAACAATATTGTAAAAGCCAAAAATAACTTTAATCTTCTAAAGATCATGTACACTATTCAGGTGAATTTATTTACATAACTACAAGGATATCAATAAATCATCGTTACCGGTAACCTTCTACGGCGCAACACAATCGCCTTATCTCACATCATTTAATGCAAATCCGGGTGAAATTCACAAAAGAAGGGAAATTATGGGTCCATTACTTTATAGAATGCTTTGTTATTTGGTAATATTTTATGCGGGTAATTAAAAATATCCCACCGCTTTATTAGGGGGACACAAATGGTTAGTAATATTCCCGATTAATTAAGAATAATGGAAAGCAAACAAAACTTACCACTTTAATGCTTGCTCGTTTGGAATGAAATTTCCAGAAAATATCCAGTCTTTGGCTGGTTTACTGCAATCGAGGGTGCTATCTACTTTCATCATTGTGGTGTCGTTAAAGGAAGGAAAACCACTACTTTGTCTAGAAAGAAAAAATGTAAGATGATAAAAAAATATCAACAATAGAACACTAATGCTACGAATTCAAAAATAATGATTGAATTAATGCGATCACAAATGTTAATGAAAAAATATAGTTTTCGTAAATATTTTCTACAAATTTTCAAGTTATATTTTATTAGAAAGCATACATTGAATTTCAGATTAGTCATAGGTATTTAACAAAATGTTAATTTATTTCAGACAATTTGTTTTAATTCAGGAAATGTAATGATTGTCATCTATTATATTTCAGAAAGCGGACATAATGCCTGGTTTTGTCAGAAATAATTTTTAGTGTTTGTTTTTGTTTCTCCAGATAAAATCGCGCCATAGTCTTTAATATTTCTTTTTTACTTAATTTAAAGTAAAAAAAAATTGCAGGGTAAGTTATACGCAGATCTAAAAATGTAAACAAAGCTTTATTAAAGCAAATAACTTATGTTATGGGTCTTCAAACTTTTAATAAAATTTTCTACGGTACCTCTTTCACATTTTAAGTCATTTAATCAATCTTTCAAAATTTGCAGTTGGCATAGGGAAGTGGAGTAGACATAAACTTATTTTTACACCTTAAACAGTATTTTTCTTTGTTTTCTTTAATTTATTTTTCGAAATGTCATCTTATTTACTGTGATTTACCTTCGCTTTGCTCGTGATTATAGTTTTGCCCTACCAGAAGACGTCGACTTTTAAGGACATTTTATTTAATTGCAAATTTAGCAAAAGAGTGAAGTTTAATTATTGTATTTGGACTTTAATTTATTTTCAAATACTCGACTAACGGTAACTGAAGACTGTAGTAGACAATTAAAACCATTTCTCTTAGAAATTACGTATTTTAGAAATATGCAACAAAGTTGCGTTTCCACATAATCTACCAGCAACAAAAAAAAAAGTGTGTATTAGGTGTACTCAAAGAACCCTCTGCTTTTATTAAATAATAAGCTTAAATTTATGTTTAGCTATCCCAACAACTCATCCATGTCATATTTCATTATCACATTTTTTGGGTCTCTGATTACGAATCTGAAGGTAGAATTACGAAATTCAAAATGACGTATTCCATATGGCGGACAACAATATTAAACTTACTTTCTTGGATCACTGATTACAATTATGAATTCAGAATCACGAAATTCAAAGTGGCTAATCAACTATGCATAAACATGTATGTATAATTATTGATTTTTTCTTTTTCGTTTTATTCACTGTAAATGTGTGTGATTTCATTTAAGGGGGTGGAGGGGGGAAAGAGGGTGACAAGGTTGGTCCGTTTAGGGTGGACGCGATTCAGTATTGCTAGTAGGTACTAAAAAAATTTTTTTCAGATTTTTTCAGCCAAAAATAAATTAGGCCAAAAACTTTAGGGGCCCTCCTCCTTTAAAAATTCAAAGATTTGATTTAAAAATTTTACTCTTGAATACGAGCCCTAGGTACATAACAAATATCAGAAAAAAATGTACTCATCTACAGTCTCGTGAAGGAAATATTTAATGATAAAATTACATTTGTAGACCTTCTATTATTGATCCCATGGAAATAACTTTTTATTTTATTTTAATTTTTCATTTCTAATATACATTTTTTCCCTCGCATTGTATGTACTGTTATCACTGTTCCTGTCAAAAGCAGAGGTGTAAATAGAATTATTTGTTTAATATACAGGGTGGCTAGTAAGGTATGTCGCAAACCATATTAATTAATAAGCATGGAAAATTTTGAAGCTTCGGTCCTATTTACGCACGAAAGATCTAAAATAAAATTTAAGATGTCTTAATATTTATGAGACAGTTTGAAACAAAAACTAGTATTATTTAAAAAAAAAAGAATAATCAATGGCATAGGTATGGGAGTAGCAGTGTCATTTTTAAAAATATGAAATTATACATCGCCGTTTTTTTTAATATCCTTGTACAATTTCTTAAACAACAATCTTTAATCTACAAATGAACCCTCTTGTAAATTTTTATTAGGATGTTTGGGACGTACTATTTTCGACATAATTTCAGTTTTGGATATATTGGACTGAACAGTAAGTGTACAAATGAATGGCAACTTTCAATATTGGATGACAAATTGTTTCAAATAAACGAAAAGTGTGATATTTATAAAGTTTCTGTTCTAAATCAAAGTATACTTTCGATGATTTAGCCAACATTCATTTTGTGTTTGGGTCACGCCAAGGGAAATGTTTTTAAATCTGGGTTTGGAACATAAACTTTATAAAAATAGCTGCCTCCCATTTATTTTAAACAAACAAAGAATGTTAATTAGTCAATGTCTCGTTTTTTTACTGCAGAGATACCGAAAATTACGGTTATCTCGGAAACTGTCATATTTAGGTACATCTATGCCACTGAATAATTTTATATTACAAGTTTGCAGGACCGTACTTCTCGAAAAATGAATTATTTTATGATGGTCTGAATAATGTAAAAAACTTAAAAAGTTTTGCATGTTTCATGCATTACATGAGTTACTTGGCAAGAACATACACAATTTACTAAGTATCATGAAAATTGGTTGTACCAACAAATGTGCAACTAATCACTCACCTATCACAATCCTCCAATCCGCTACTCTGACTGTACTCGTAGTCCATCATCAAATCGTCGCTAGCTATACTTTCGCAAGGCGACAGCGTGTCCAAAGACCCAGTCCGACTCTGCAAGAACTTCTTACTCCTGACGCTAAGTGGACTGCCTTCAAGGGCTGGCAGGACTCTCCTCTTCTGCTTCGGCGTTGAGTCCACGATCGTCGGGGTGCTTTCCGAGTTGTTTTGCGACACAGTCACGTTGAAGGTGTCGTTCGGCGCCGTGATGGTGTCTTCGAAGACGAGCGCTGGCTGGTCGGCGATCTCGTCGTCGATCAGGAAGTCGTCCTTGCCATCGGACAGGGAGAGAGAATGAGACGCGTTAGTCGGCGTGCCGGGACTGGGAGGGGTGAGTTTCTCATTGATATCTTTGGAGTTGGACGAGCTGCGGTCGTGCTTTCGCTTTATTTCCTCCGTCTCCGAGCAGCTTATTATACTGTCTGCGGGGGACAACAGGGTTTCCTCGTCTAGCAGGGAACCTTAAACGGATTCAGAATTCTATGAATTTATGCGGTTCTCTACACCGCGTTTCACTTTTCATGAAGCCACCCTTATATCATGGTTATTTTCAATTGAAACGTTTTGACATTTCAGTAGGAAATTACAAAAAATGATGCCTTCTTCATTAAATCAGTAATACTAAAGTTTATTTATAATAATTTCTACAAAAATATGATAAAAAGTAATGGAAATTGACAAATCTTATTACCTGTAAATCAAAAACTATGACTATAATGATATGAAAAATATATTTCCCGTTTCCGATCTTACAAATCCAATATTTAATACGTTTTTTACAGTTCTGAATGGCATTATTGTCGCTACTATTTTTAGGTATTTTTTCAAATAGTCTGGTAACTGTGCTGTCCAATAGTTTTGCCATATTTTGGTTTTTCAACTCTAGTCCCCCTTTTTCTAGTGGACTAATTGTAAATTAACTGTTGATATTAATTTTTCCTTTAAATTCACTAATAAATTGGAACAGAGTAAATAAATGGCGTTCTATACATAATCTCCAATATACAGGATGTCCCGTTCATTTTTCAAAAAAACATGTGTGCAAGTTCCTCATGGGAAAATAATGGGGGTAGTTCACATAACGTTTTTTTCTTAGACGCCTTGTTTTCGAGATACAGTGTGTTGAGGTTGTTACTTTCCAAATGGTTTTTCTTAATTATTATCTTTAAATCGCCTAAAGATAAAAATGTCAAAACTTGTACACGAGTAAATACAGGATGTTTCTAAAATAGGGTTCCAAACTTCTGCTGTGTTCATAATTCTTTAAAATAAGCCAAAAAGTTCCTATTAACACGTGCCCTAAAACGCACCCTTAGGAAGTTATATGCCCTTAAAAGGGCTCAAACAAAACTGTTTTCTTTTCTGTTATCGACAAAACGGTCGCAAATAAATAGAAAAAAATGTATGGGTCTTACATAACTTTTTACGTTAAATAACATGGGCTACTCCGTTTTTCGACATGCGTCCTATTTAGGTTGGTGAAGGGGGTTTTCGGCCCATATTTTTTTTTATTTCAATTTTTTTACAATTTTCTATGCAGATTTATAAAATCTTAACAATTTTAAGTAAAAAACATTATCTTTGTCCAAATCGATATTTCCAATGGTTTTCGAGTAAATTGAGTTTGAAAATTTTAATCCCATTATTTTCTATTTCACATTAGGTATTGTCTGCAGTAGTAATTAGTTCTTTAATTAGTAAGTGTAACTCTAAATTTAAATAGTTTTAGTTTATGTCCTAAATTATTTATTAAATGATCGGATCCTTCATAACTGCAATTTATTTGAAAAAAAAAAAACAGTTTTGTTTGAGCCCTTTTAAGGGCATATAACTTCCTAAGGGACGTTTCAGGGCACATGTTAATAGGAACCGTTTGGCTTATTTTAATGAGTTATAAACGCAGCAGAAGTTTGGAACCCTCTTTTAGAAACACCCTGTATAAATATAATATAATATGCAAACGGTTTCTTTCTGAAAATCAGTGTCGCCGTTACAGGTAACTGGAAGGTTACAATCGAAAAAAAAATATGTTAAAAGTCAAAATTTTTTACATTTCTAAACGGTTTTGTAAACTTTAAGGCATACTGCAAAAAGGTATACTTGTCGAAATTCGGTAGCACGTACCATTTTCGAGAAAAATTAAGTTATATAGAAGCAAATGGGGGACAATTTCAACATCTACTGTAGTATTTCGAGTTTTGCTCATATATTTAATTGTGCAGTTATTTTGTTCGGTCTGTCTCCGAGTTTGTTTCATAATTTTTTTCTGTTCTTATCACTTTTTTTAAGCATTAATGTCCATCAACAATTCAGTCCATTCAACAATTTTTTTTTAGTAGTAATTTACAAAATCTAAAATTAGTAATTAATAATTGCTTACCATAATTTGATTAATTTGATTTACTTTTAAATTTACTTTACAACAAACAACTTAAACTTCATTCAATCAATTTTAATTTTTTTTATTTCTTTACGTTACTAAAATATTTTGCAATGTAAACAGTTACGTAAGAAATTAAAATTATATTCTTATATGCAAAGACTATTGGTAGCTAAAAATTTTTTACTTTTAACATTTTTTTTTTTAATTGTATGCCTCCAATTACCTGTATCGGGACACTGCTTTTCAGAAAGAAACCGTTTGCACATTATTCTTAACGCACAGTTTATGTTTACTCGTGTACAAATTTTGACATTTTTATCTTTAGCAGATTTAAATATAATTAAGGAACACCATATGGAAAGTAACAGCTTCAACACACTGTATCTCAAAAACATTATTTTTCCATTAGGAACTTGCACATAAGTTTTTTTGAAACATGAACGGGACACCCTGTGTATTTTTGTNTGTGGCTACTATTTTTAGGTATTTTTTCAAATAGTCTGGTAACTGCGCTGTCCAATAGTTTTGGTAACTCTAGTCCCCCTTTTTCTAGTGGACTAATTGTAAATTAACTGTTGATATTAATTTTTCCTTTAAATTCACTAATAAATTGAGACAGAGTAAATAAATGGCTTCTTATTCATGATCTCCAATATATAGGGTGTCCCGTTCATGTTTCAAAAAAACTTGTGTGCAAGTTCCTCATGGGAAAATAATGGGGGTAGTTCATATAACGTTTTTTTTTCTTCTGTTTTCGAAATACAGTGTGTTGAGGTTGTTACTTTCCAAATGGTTTTTCTTAATTATCTTTAAATCACCTAAAGATAAAAATGTCAAAACTTGTACATGAGTAAACATACAACTGCACGTTAAGAATAATAATGCAAATGGTTTCTTTCTGAAAAGCAGTGTCGCTTATACAGGTAATTGGAAGGGTATAATCGAAAAAAAAAATGTTAAAAGTCAAAATTGTTCACATTTCTAAACGGTTTTGTAAACTCTAAGGCATACTGCAAAAAAGGTATACTTGTCGTGCACGTACCCTTTTCAAGAAAAATTAAGTTGCATAGAAACAAATGGGGGACAATTTCAGCATCTACTGTAGTATTTCGAGTTTTGCTCATTTATTTAATTGTGCAGTTATTTTGTTCCGTCTGTCTCCGTGTTTGTTCATAATATTTTTCTGCTCTTATCACTTTTTTAAGCATTAATGTCCATCAACAATTCAGTCCATTCAACAATTTTTTTTTTAGTAGTGGTAGTGTAGTAATTTACAAAATCTAAAATTAGTAATTAATAGATAATTAATTACCATAATTTGATTATTTTGATTTACTTTTAAATGTTACTTTACAACAAGCCTAAAATTAAAATAAATTTTAATTTTTTTATTTCTTTACGTTAATAAACTATTTTGCAATTTGACTGTTTTATGTGATACGTAATAAATTAAAGTTATATTCTTAAATGCAAAGACTATTGGTAGCTAAATGTCTTCAGCCCATTCAATGGTAATGTCCTCTTTCAATTTAATATTCTGTGAATGTACTTGTGCCGCTTTATATGAGCAAAAAAATGTAACTTAATTTTTCTCGAAAATGATACATGCTACCGCATTTCGAAAAGTATAACTTTCTTGTAGTATGCTTTAGCTTTAGAGTTTACAAAACCGTTTAGAAATGTAAATTTTAAATTGTACGCCTCCAATTACCTGTATCGGGACATTGCTTTTCAGAAAAAAACCGTTTGCACATTATTCTTAACGCACAGTTGATGTTTACTCATGTACAAATTTTGACATTTTTATTTTTAGCAGATTTAAAGATAATTAAGGAACACCATATGGAAAGTAACAGCTTCAATACACTGTATCTCAAAAACAGGGCGCATAAGAGAAAAACGTTACCTGAACTACCCCCATTATTTTTCCATTAGGAATTTGCACACAAGTTTTTTTGAAACATGAACGGGACACCCTGTATATTTTTGTATTATACATATTTAGATTATTCAAAATGTGAAAACTTTTTAAAGTTTAAAGAAAGTGTACTCCCAATTTTTTTGACAATTCACCATTTCAAGTTTCTGTTTATATGGTGATGTATAAATATTTTAAATAACTTGATTCCTTCCTAATTACAAAAGACTCCATAATTGGATTGTGATGTATGATGAGGATGGTAAATACTGTGTTGTTTTAGCATTTTAGGAAATTGTATTGAATCAAAACTATTTTTCAAGAGTTAGAAAGTCATTATCTGCTTTAATTTTCAAATACTTCAAGTCTCACCTTCGTAAAAGACCACAGTATCTTCAGCGAACTTCAAGATTTTACCATGAATATCAAGATAAACTACTTATATGAGAGCAGTCTAAGTATGGTACCTTGTGGGAGACATTGATTTAATGAACGAAACAGAGATTATGACAATAAGAAAATCGATTGTAAATTAATGCTCAGTAATTGTAATTTTGAAACCCGACCCCTATGACTAGATTCAAATGTAATTATATCAGAACAATCCCTCTGTCGATAATTATTTCAATATGAAATGTGATATGTTTCAATTTCAAATAAGAGAGATATAAGGGTGCCTCAATTAAAAGTGAAACGCAGTGTATTATTATATTGCAAATATATTACTGCGATATATTTATATATCATTTAACTCTAACAGTGGTTTTAGCTTTCATTACTGGAATATATTTTATATAAATCGAGATTAACTACCGTTTTTGTTTTCAAAACATTATTTTTTATATATTTTGATTATGTTTTAAAATTCACATTTTGCAAGCAAATCTTGTTCATTTGGTATCGTCTGTGCAAGAAACTATAAGACCAAAACGTTTCTTTTCTACAGGGTGTCCGTGAGAAATTGCCCACATTTTAAGGATACCTACATTCCTCAAATAAAAATAAAAATAAAAGTGTATATGTTCGAAAATATGCTATTTCCAATATACAGGGTGTCCATAAAATGGTAGGCAATCTCTCGGATTCAGATAGAAATAAAATCATGTTTATATTATATTTTTAAATGGGCTCTCGGAGAGTATAAAATATTGGTGTAAAAATTTCGTCCATAACATAAAATTATCAATATCAACGTTCGATTTAAAACAAAAATTATGATGTTGCTGTCACGTAGAGGGTGCTAAGGTTAGAAAATTAATTATCAAAGTATGCGCAAAGAGAGCGCTTGTTTTTTATCATTAAAAAAAATTGTGAAGGTAACAGATAATTCTTACACTAAAGTTTTAGATAGGTACGTATTTTTCAATGAAAAGAATCATTACCGAGGAGACGTATCAATCTCAACTGGTCTACGGTAATGCAAAAATTGATATTGTTTACATAATTTCACAAACTAATTTGGATGAAGAATGAAGCGTTTTAAAAAAAATAACCAGACATCTTTAACAAGTGCTCAACAAAGGCTAAGGTAACTACTCAGATGTACATGTATAATCAAAGCAACAGTATTTCTCAATGTATTACTGTACTGTGACACCGGCATATGCAACCATATACACATCGAAATTGGATCAGCTGAATTCAGAAATTTTGGATATCTGTTTTTAATTACCATTCTTTTTTTTATGATTCTGAAATAATAAATATATAAAGAATATAAATTATAAGAACGTTTAGTCTGAAACAATAAAATATTAAAATTATTAGTCCGTGGAAATAAAGGTCCATACACATGGTTGATTGACGTCTCTCAAAGAAACATCAATGTAAGTTCAGTTGCCAAATTTAATATCTAAACTTCTCCGACAGTCTGAGTTAGTGTTTTATGGCATTTATCCTTTTAAAAATAACTTAAAAGGCAAAAGAAATTGCGATCGCTAATAAATAATGAACAATTAATAGGTATATGGCTTTCTTTTAGAAGGGCTAATTTAAGCCGACTGCCGAGTATGCAAAATCGCCAAATCTAATTTTTCGTTGCATCTGAATACTCACATATAAAGTTTAGAGTGCCACATACAAACGTATGCGCCATCTGACCCCGTAATGATATTTTCCCGTAAGACAACACACTACCTTTACATCCACGCACACGTTCCATGTCTGAACTCCCTTCCTTATATAAAATACATGCGCAATTAAATCCCACGGCGATATTTTCCCGTGAGATGGCTTATGTTATTTTCCCGTATCGAATGAACGACTTCAACATGCGTGATAGGTCCGTTGTTCGTCTGACGTCAGCATTCAGAAAGGAGAAGGGATAATTGCGTTTTCGATTTGCTACAAACACGAAGCAACGTAAGACGGGACCGTTAGAAGTTTGGACAAGATTTATTATTTTATAATTTTATATTTATAACGCACAAAAAAAGAGTAAGTACAAGCATATAGTGTCTTATTTATATTCGGTATTTTCACGTAAATGCAACGCAAACTTCTTTAAACAAAATAGGGTTTTTAAATTGCGTACGAGAGAAAATTCAGACTGGTTTATAGGGAAGAGTCTTGAATCTTGGGAATTGTAATGAATTAATCTTGCAAACTTGTAGAAATACGTTGTCCAAACCAATAGACTGCAAACTATTTACAACAAACATTTATACTGTAACTAGGTTTTATAGTTTACACGACCGACGTAATTTTTGAACGGAGCAACAGATTTTGATGAAGGAGGCCTCGAATTGACGTAAAAGAACATTATTTAAGATTTAGGAAGACTGCAAATTCAGTTCGTAATTAGTTGTAATTAGAGCTCCCCTTGATGCGAGTCCGAAATTTCACGAATTTTTTTCTCCATCGCTTTAGAAAGGGTTAGGACTAGCCAATTAGTTGACAGACTGATCACAGAGAAAGCGTTATACACAAGAGAGGAAGCCACAAACAAGCAGAAGGACAAAGTTGTGAAACTGCTTCAAGAAAAACATTTCAAACTAAGAAATCTAGGCAACTCTCGGGTCGTCACTAATCTAATCTTTGCATAACTAGATGATGATGTTAGATACTTGCCAAAGGCCTAAAATTCGCCATAATATCAAGGACAATTCCAAAAGAGGAAATCATTAGCACCTTAGAAACCACGTCTCCCCAAGTAGTCGCGGAAGAAGTAAGAGCTGGAGCAGCATATGTAATACGAATTGCCAACCTCTGAAACAATCTGTTTAGAAATGTCCAAGCCATCAAGGAAGTGAAGGCAACTGAGGAAATTACTTCCGGTTGACAAAGACAATGCAACTGTCATGTTGGACACAACAAAGTACATATCCTAAACATACTACGGGACCTGGTCTACAAGAAGATCAAGAACAACGTAATCAAGAAAGTTGAGATAGTGATAAGGTCTGCGATTCAAGCATCCAATATTCCCAAAGAGGGGAACTACCCTATTTTGCGTGATTCAACTTCAACTTTATTACCTTCCAAAGGTCCTTAAACCAAACGTACCAATTAGATCCAGATTATGAAATCTTTAGAAGAACTTCAGGTAAGGCTCATCGCAGAAGATGTTGTCCTCAGCTTTGGTAAATATTGCCACGAAGTTCTTTGATAATCCTGGATCAGTAAGCCAAAGTGTTGGTTCAGCTATGTTGATATTTTTATTATTTCATAATGGATATAACATAGGATTTCTGAATCACATCAATGGAATACATTCGCACAATAACTTCACCACGAAGATTGAAGAAAATGGTACCCAGCCGTTACCAGATGTTTTCAGAAAGCCAACATGGATATAAGAACGTTGGGTCTAATCACTACCCAGCCCAGAAACAAGGTATTGTCAACACAACGAACACGTGGCACATGCCACGTGTTCATGAGCAAAACATTTAGACGAGAAAGCGTCAACGATCTGTTTTTATACATGAACGGGAATACCAAAAGATCCATCACAGCTCTATCTGCCCTATACACGAGTAGAATAATGTACTGACAAAACAAGAGGTATGTATATTAAGAGATCATTTACAACACATCAAGAAAGATAGGGACAGTAATTCTCAAGACGAGTTGCAAGGAACAATCTACTTCAAGCCCTCGATGTAAACAATATTCCGTGTACATACAGAAAAGTATATACTAGACAAACGGGAAATCACACTAGTACGAGGTTAAAGCTGTAAAAGTGAGGTTAAGAAAATCAACTTAGAAAAATCAGCAGTTGCAGAACACAGATATGGGACAACGATAGAGAGTATCACATTCGAACCTTAATTACAAGCCATGGAATAGTGCACACAGCAAATATAAATACTAGCTAGAGGACTTAATATTCAGCTCTGAAATTATTTAACTGGATACAGGTTACCAAATTGATTAAAGGACTAATTTCGATAGACCTTTGCGGAGCGTTTTCACGCTTACAAAGGGTTAAGTTGGGTCGTATCGCGGGGATGTGACCCTCTGTTGATTTTCAATTGATTCATCTCAATCGCTTCATCTGTTTGAAAGTTACGAATAGAAATGTTGTCCAACATAATGAGGTTGGTTAAATATCTACCAACTTATAACAACAAAATATTTTTTTGAATATATAATTTTCCAGTAAGATTTTTGTTAAAAAGTGATGATAATTAGTGCGCACAGAAGATAATCTACAGATCTGAAGTATGACTTACTTGTATTGCTCGCTGCTGCCACCGCCGCAAATTTCGGATCCTCGATAGTTAATAGTACACTTTTTACTTCATTAGATGCGGTAGTGGTAAAGGACTTCGACAGCGAACCAGTCATCAAACTCTGCAACGCGGATCCTATCACTGCGGCCGAAATCGGAACGGATTCTTCTTGGTTCTTATCCTTGCTCTCGTCGCTGGAACTGAGAGAAAAGCTTATCTCGTCTGCCATGGCTTCGCCTCCATGGACCTGCAATGAAATACACTTGCTTAGCCACGCTCTTGTTTGATCACTGTTCGTATATTTCATTCATATTAAATATTAAAAAGTACAGTAGAACGAGATGTAAAATAAGAGGGAATTCATTAAATAACAATAAACTTATAAGGATTGTTACGCGAGAGCTTATAGAAATTCTTTTGTTTCATTTTCTATATAGCTCTTTTTATTTATAAACACACCCGGTTTACTTATCCATGAGCTTGTAGATGCTCTTTACAAAAAAGCTTTTTTTGATGCATTGTTGAACCAAGTTTTTGCACCACACAGATTTTCTTAATACCATCGGTAAACTCCTAACCCATCCATTTTTACTTTGAAAAGTCCAACAAATGAGAATCTGATGGCGTCTGATTCCGTCTTCGTCAAATTCAACATCTAAAGACTGCATAGCTTATTTAGTATACAAGAGTAGCACATATATTTAGATATAGCGTTTTTGAAAGGCAACGATTCAATTTTTTTTTCGGAAATTTCCGTCATTTCGAACGTATCGCGAATTTCAACTAACGCTGAATTGAGAACTAGTCACAATTAACTTTTTTCTTGAAATATACCAATATAGAGCTACTGAAATCCCAAAAGATTATCAGTATATTTTTCTGAATAAATGTTGTTTCTAATTTTCTGGTTATTACTGATGATGACTTAAGACTTATTTACAGTTTGAAGACTTTACCCCACAATTACCAACCAATAGTTGTACTTATTGTATTAATAAAATAAATATTATGTGACCATTATAAAATCCCAATGGAAAAATATTTGCTATGATGGTAATACCATTAGAATAAAATTTGTTTTAAGGATCATAAAAAAAACAAAACTGTCAGTTTACGAATTTCATTTGTATGATTTATTTCAAACACCAAAACAAAGAAAATGGTTGCAATTCAAATTAACTAGCTTCCCAGCTTGCGATTTTAATCAGAAAATATAAACATATGTTGTGGTATAAATAGTGAACTATAAATTCCCTTAAGGGTCTACAATTTGCGGCAGAATAGGAACATAAATAACACTGTCCCTTTGATGACTATAAGATATGTAAGTTCGTTAACTAAAATTGCAGAGAAAGCAAAAAAATAATAGAATGTCATCTGATGTTGATGCAATGTAAGAATAATTTTGGACCTTATAAAAATATACGCCATTTTTACTGCTACTGTTTAGGTTTCCATGTATTTAATATTAGAGAAAATAAGCATAAAAACAAAAATAACTTTGATATAAAAGTCGCATTTCAATAAAGCACATGCAATTTTCTTATTCTATTTTTCTATTTAATTGGGTTTTTTCACGTTACCGAAACGAGAAAGAAATTTTAAATAAATATTTACCTTGCGGCGAAAGAATCAGGGAGGTTATTTTATAAATCTAATTTTCTCCAACCACAAACCAAACTTTGACCGATCCTTTAGGAGAACGGGGTTTTTAATTCAAAATTATTTTATTTTTAGTATGGCACAAATATCTAATGAATTAAAAAAGTACTAAAAAATTTTGCAAATAGATAATGTCGGGCAATAAGTTTAATTTTATTGTTTAAATACTAAAAATTATGTCAGTATAGCCATGGCAAATTTAAAAATAGTCACGGAAAATAATCTGAATACTAAATTATTTCCATCAGATATATTTTGTGAATACGTCTAAGTAAAAAAAGGTTTTTTTAATATTTTATAAGTAAATATAATTGCTTGTTTTTGTGTGACCTATTTTTATCATGGAAAATAAGACAAATCTGTTTATTTATTCAAAGTAAAGACAATAAATTGTGATAGTTGTAATTATGATACTTTAAGCCTAGTCTTCGCCAAATTAGGTTAAATGTGCTACTTGAGTCGAGGCCGGTAGCAAATGTCTCAAGTCTAAATGTAAAGATATACAGAGTTGAGACTTAAGCTACAATTTATTAAGTGACACACGTCGTACGACAGAATCTGTCGCGCTTGACTCACGTCAGTTTTCGAGACAGTGGTTTGTTAAGAAATGAGTTCTTGTGACAATTTGTAAAAAAAAATCAACATTGATCTTAATGGACAAAGAAGATAAGACAGAAGAAATGCTGTTTTTACCTTCCTGTCGGTAAAATAAAAATACAAATAAAATATTTCCAAACTGAGGTACAGAGGAAGCATAAAATAAGCCATGAAATTACTTGGTACCTTCGGACATCTTTGTGTTAAATGAAATTGTAGTTACAGAGCCTCTATATTTTATTAGTTCAGCAAAACTCCTGTGTCCAAATAAGGTCCAAATAGATTGCTGCGGACACTGCCGACGTACACCGTTGTTGATCGACAGTCCTCGTAATTATAAGCCTCTTGTCAGCGCACAGGTTGTCAGACGTCTTCCAACGTTGGACGTTGGACCACAGTAACATTTGCCGCATCGTGTGACCGTATGACATGAAATTTCATGTGTCCAACGTTGGACGCTCGGAACGTTCGGCCAGTGTCGGAATTTTTGACCTACGTCGAAGGGTGCTTACAATGTTGGAAGCAACATTCGATGAACGGCTATACGAGCGGTTGAGCGTTTAACATGCTTGCCGTGACGTGATTGTTGTTTGTTTTCTTGTCGTAACAGATTTATATATTTTATTATTATTATTATTATTATTATTATTATAAAATTACTATAACAAAGTAGAAAAATTAATCAATTTATACTTTTTGCAATCGTATAGAAAGTTTCCATTCGTGCGTATTTAATGTGTTTCTTATATTTGTTACTAATAAACTATTAATGAAACAGGGTGCCAAAGTTTTATTTATTTCTCTTAGTATTTCCAGTAATATTTGAATAAACTAAGATAAAGGCACAGAATTATTTGTTTTTTTTATATGAAAAATTCAAATCCGCTCACTAGTAGAGGGCTTCCAACTTTGGGTTCAATATTCACCCCACAATGTGGCAGAAGCATTTGCCAAATGCTAGGTGTGCTGATTTTGATTCTATTAGTTCCAACAATGGATCCAATGTTTGACGAATCGTGTGATGCCGGCTTAATATAAACAATTTCAATCGATTTGATTTGTGAGCGACGCACAGCCAACTGTGAGCTCTGCACCGTACAGTGCATGTTACGCAAACGGTGATTACATGCAAACTATAAGATGTTTACTAGAATACTGTTTAAATTAATGAATACAAGAATTATTTTACTTTAAGTTCGCAGTGTCCATGTTTAGTTACGTTTCTATTATTGTTATCATGATTTTTGTGTTTTATAATAAATAAATATCCATGTATCCTATTTTTTTTTAAATTTATCCTTAACTTATCCTAAATCATGAGGTTTGATAAAAAAGTAACGGGAATTTTAAATCTCACGTGTAGTATCTTGTCTATTGAAGTGATTCTTTTTTATGTATTGGTAGCACTGTCAGAGACGTACCTGTCAGTTTTTAAGCAGTTGCCACGCTTAGTTTGTGTTTAGCAACCGAATGAGTAAGATTTACCTCACTGTTTTTGGCGATTTTTTTCTGTGGCGAAATGTCGGATCAGAGTTTGTCTGACATTTTGTGTTAAAAACGGAATTAAGTGCATCCAAGCGTTCAAAATGTTAAAGAAGGCCTTTGGCGATGATACTATGTCACAGCACGATTTTATCAATGATGCAAATGTTTTCAGGAAGGTCAAGAAGACATCGAAGATGAGGTCGAGACCTGGTCAAATATGAAGGTCCTTCTGACCGTTTTCTTCGACTACAATGGAATAGTTCATCACGAATTTTTACTGTCCGGTCGTACAACTAACAAGGAGTACTACCTACAAGTTTTGCGCAATTTGCGTGAGGCAATCAGGAGAAAACGACAAGAAGACAACTCGTGGATTTTGCACAACGACAACGCACCAGCGCATACCGCGTTGCTTATCCATTAGTTCCTGGCGAAACAACACCGTCGTGATGCCGCAACCATCCTATTCTCCGGACATGACGGCTGTGACTTTTTCCTATATCTCAAACTCAAAAGTATACTCAAAGGACAACGTTTTTCAACTACAGATGAAGGCAAAATCGCAAACCGTGTTCAAGACAATACCTAAAGAGGCGTTCCACCAGTGTTCTCAAACTGGAAACTACGTTGGCAAGGAGTATAATATCACAGGGGGATTATTTTGAAGGGGACGGGATAAAAATTGTTTACTAAATAAATACTTTCTGAGAAAATTAACAATTCCCTTTACGTTACTTTTTGATCAAACCATAAAAGGAGTTGTGTAACAAAATGCACACACTTTAAGAGACACTAGAAAGGTAGTGCAGTAACACGATAGTTCACAATGAGGGTGATGATTAGTAGCACACTTATTTATTATAGATTTCGGTACTGTTAACAAATTTTTTTATAGTTTTAAAAAATCTCCGTTTGAGAATGTTTTTTTTTCTTTTTTTTTTTTGACAATTGCCTCCTTTTTATATTATATAAAATATATCACATTATGGCCATATTGATTCTCTAACATATTATTTTTTATAATCAAAACATTTAAAATATACAGTGCTTTCGAAAAGTAACGAATAAATTCATTATTTTTTAAATTGACAAGTTTTCGAAAAAATCCGCTGGCACGTCGTTTTTAAAAAAAGCACTTTTTGACATACGACCCATATTTGTGACGTCATCGTTGTTCGAGATATGACGTCATCGACAATTTTTTTAAATAGCAACCCACATAGATCATGAAAAATTATGGTGTTACATAACAAAAATGTCAAGAAAATAATGTTTGAAGATTTTAAAATTTAATTTTCACAATACTGAAAATGATAATGATTATGTAAAAATCGACTAAATGGTGCACCTCCCCATTATGCAACACCTGTCCGTGCTTATTTGGATGAGCTGTTCCCGAATCGTTGGATAGGGAGAAGGGGGCCGATTGAGTGGCCAGCCAGATCGCCTGATTTGACACCCCTAGATTATTTCTTGTGGGGATATTTAAAAAGCAAAGTATACGTTACTAGATCGGTTAATTTAGAAGATTTAAAAGCAAGAATTCGTCACGAGATACATCGTATACCTCCTGAAGTTATTGATAATGTCCAAAAAGAATTTATTAATCGTCTTGGCTACTGTCAGGCAGCCAACTGTGCACAATTTGAACATTTAATTTAGTCGATTTTTACATAATCAAAATTTTAAAATCTTCAAACATTATTTTCTTGAAATTTTTGCTATGTAATACCATAATTTTTCATGATCTGTGTATGTAGAATGACACGCTCTTTCAAATGGCATGCTCAAAATTGGGAGTTGTTACTTAAAAAAATGGCCAAGACGTCATATCTCGAACAACGATGACGTCACAAATATGGGTCGTATGTCAAAAAGTGTCTTTTTTAAAAACAAAATCGACGCGCCAGGGGATTTTTTCGAAAATTCTCAATTTAAAAAATAATGAATTTATTCGTTACTTTTCGAAAGCACTGTATATAGTAATTCTATAAATTTGCAACAACCATATAACCCGATATAGTTCCATGCATAAGACTTCAAACTAAGTTAAAAACAATAATGCGAATATTGTAATGATTTACTCCAAAATCTGACAAGAGTAATTATTCTGAACTCTTACATAGCAACTGCAGAATTATTAGCACGGTTTTATAAGTAGGTACTAAATGTAGATTTAACTGAAGTAGGTATGTCCCTACTTACTCGTGGAACCTCCCGTGTTTATGTCCCATATGTAAAAATGAGGTAAACATTCTTGTTACAGGTAAATACTTGAATAGCAACAAAAATAATACGTACCCATTCATGTTCATCTGAACTAGGCGGGCTGGAATCTTCTTTGATTTCATTGGTTCTGGATTTTAGGAATGTTTTGTGTGGTGTGGCTTTGATAAACGTCTTTTCGCTCCTGAACCGTTCTTTGTAAGTCTTTTCTTCCTCTCCGTAATCATCGCTGAAGCCCTCGGACGATGTGGCAGATATTTTTCGACCCCGATTGTCCCGCTCTAAGTGGCGTTGGTACTCTACGGCGCGCTCACGAACTAGGCCAGAAGATTGATATGAGCTGAAAAAAATATATTTGTTAAATATTTTCCTCGTATTTTTTTACACTAGCTAAAGCATTCATATTTTAAAATGTTTCAATGATAAACGTATCTGCCAAACATTTAAGATATAAAATTTAAAAATAAAAAATGGGGTTGTATAGTCATATTTTTTATCCAGCTTACGTTTTTGGTTTTTCATAAACATATGCGCATTCTACAGATTTGGTTATTATTATTTTATTTTAAAATGAACGCTTTACATAAAACATGTATTAGTATCACATTTAAAAGATAGAAAATTTACGTCAAAATGTAATACTGTGTAGGTAGGTACTTTAATGAGTATTCGCCATTAAATTAAATTCGTTGAAAAAATGGCATAGCACTTATAAGTATTCATATGAAGTTACATATTTGTGAATTAATAATAGCAATAATTAAAATTACTTTCTATCTATAAATTAAACATAATACAAGGTGTCCCAAAATTCATGCAAGATTTGAATTTTGCGCCATTTGTGCCACAAAGTGTTGCCAACGAGAAAAAAAAACACGCGAAAGAACAGCGCGTTTTCATTGTTAAGCAATATTTTAATAGTAATGAAGGTTTGGCGGCTACAGTTCGCAATTTTCGTACAAAATATGTTCGGAATAGTGATATTCACTTTAACTGGGAAGAGATTAATTGAAAAATTCAGAGAGATTGGATCAATTAGTTATCTTAAATACTTTGGCCGTCTTTGAACAAGTCATTCAACACAAAACATTGAATCAGTACGTGAGAGTGTTGCTGAGAGTCCAGAACATCAATTCGACACAGTGGTCAAGAATTGGACATTTCAAGCTCTCTACAACTTAAAAAGTTTAATTGACTCAAGAACTGAAGCCTGCTGACCACGCAGAGCGAAGATAATTTGTTGAATGGATTATGGAAGTGGATACTTATTTTTCGAACAAAATCATCAGAGAGCGGCTCATTTTCATTTTGATGATGCCTTCGATAATCGACAAAATTGTCGAAATGTCCACATATATTAAACAATGACTCTCCATTTACACCCTGTATAATCAAAACCGACTGGTTTAAGTTAACATAATGTATGTCAGATTAAAAAAAAATAATAAATTGGTACCTCATCCAAGGCAGTTTATATTTCTCTAGATTTGAATAAAAAGTCAAGGAACTCAATCGATGACGTATTTCAAATAAAATAAATGTAGCAATTATCACTCCGTAAATAAAACACACATGATAGTGGAAGTGCCTGAGAAATTTAAATATAGAATATTAACTAAACACACTGCTCTTCTGGTACCGAAATAAAAGCTCATTAAAATTCGATTTATAAATATAGGCACTTAAAAGTATATTTCCCATTCAATTTAGAAGTTTATAGACATAACAGTTTATTTTAGTACCACTATAAGTTCCTATTTACTTTTACTGCTATTTTTACATATAACCATGAGATGGCTTATAGTTCTTCATTAAGACAAATAGTGAAAAGTAAAATATATAAATATTATAAATAAGATTAAAAAAACTATTTTATTTGATTCTAATGAAGTTTTGACTGAACATAAATTTTATTTAATACGTGAAATTAGTTATTTGGAATAATTGATTATTTTTTGACAATAACTTAAAATTAAGGAAACTAGAATACAGAAGTATATTCCATATAATTTGACATTTTTGGCCGTTTTTTGAAGAGTTTTATAATCTATAATTACATTTTTTTAAATGGAACATAGCAACTATTTTCGTATTTTTATTAAATGATGATGATAATTGACACTTCAGCAGATTTTTTTTGAAGTTATGGACACAATATTTTTGTAATTGACCTGCTTCATGATACAATAAGATAAAACCAAATCCGAGATATTTTACGTATTTTTTGTCCATCTCGAAAAGTACAAAAAACCTATGCAAATGTGGAAATTGGTCCACTATGTACATATTGTTATTTTTTACAATTCTGTTACTATTTATTTATTTTCTACTTTTTTGAAGCACTTCGAAGCATCCCAATTTGACTACTGTACCTACTTATTCATCAAACAGCTAACTCGAAGTTTAAATGATTTACTACATTTTGGATAAATACACTTTGCTTGTATACGCCGATTATATTTATTTTCAATTCAAAGTATATTTCATTAAAAAGGGATGGAATATCCTTTTATTTTGTGACAATATCGTAGAAATTAGTTCGAGTTATTAACTAATGATATTGTAGGGAAACAACGTCCAGCATTGAACTACACCTTAATATCTAGTAAACAGTAGATACAAAGTGATACCCTTTGGATTGACATGATATGACATACTTTGTAGATATATTTCATTCATATTTATTGATAGTTCGAGTTCACTTCAGTTTCACTGTTTAAAAGTATTCAATTAATTTCCTTATATACTACAGTTTTACCTTCAGCCAATGTGGGACTATTATGAAATACCAGAAAAAATATTAAACTACTGTGATAGTTGTATGTTAAAATCAGATACCTATAAATTTGCTTTGTATATTTGACAAAAATTATATAGATAGATAGATAGATAGATATATTTATTAGTCCAACTAGAGCATTACAGCTTTGCTATGGGATAAGTCAACTCTACATAATACACTATAATAACTCAAACACTTGAAAACATAACTTTCCATTGCAATTTACACCGATAAAATTATAGTAGTGATTCTCTCCCTGTCATATAATGAAAAATTAATATAAATCTGGTTTCGAAATTTGTACGTTTTTGAGATAGAGGATGATAACTCACTCAAATTCGGTACATTCAACTGTATTTGAGGACTAATAATGGGTGATATGTTTCATGAAACAACAAACCCTACAGTTCCTGTAAGTTTTTTTGTTGTTACTAAAAAAATACCTTTATCTGCTCCCACTATAGTAAATAGATTATTAATACATTGTTTTTTAGGAAGGTATGTGGATTTTACCGTAAAAGTGGCAGTTGCTATGGAGAACGGGAAGTTAGTAAGATAACTTACCTCGCTAGGGAAAAAAGCGATTTCGAGTTATGAATGCATATTTTATGAACAAATAAATAGAAATATTTGTTGAACATTACATTTTATTAATTATTATGAATGAATATTTATAGTAATTGTACAGTTATTACATTTAGTAACATTTATAAAATCTGGATAATTATTCCCTTCGCGTTTACTAATTGCCACATTTTTTTCAAAATGATTTGACCACTCCATTTCAGTCACCGGAGGCTCAATATTATCTGACGGATCCATTAAAACAGCATGATGCGACGTACTTATAGTACCTGGAGTTGAACTGTCATTGTAAAGAATCCTGTTGGCCATTTCATTTATGTTACTTAAACTGTCAGCAACATAACTTTCTGCATTTGCGGCTGATTTCCACCCACCATGTCTCTTGATTGCTAATACATCAACTCCTGTATTAGCCAGTAACGTTGCCGATGTCCTTCGGAATGAATGATCTGTATATGTTTCAGGATGTTCTAGTTTAAAAAACTGTGCAATCTTATTGGGAATCATAGAAAGGGTATTCTTGCCGACTGGTTGGTTGTAACATCTACCTGCTTGATAGCGCATAAAAAAGCGTGAAATTTCAGTTTTAATTTCCAAATCTAATCTTGATATATTTCTTGAGAATTTCTAGGTGAGAAACATAATCCGGACGAGAAGTAATTGTGAAGGTACGTGATATACCATTTTTAGAATCTAGAATTGTTCATTACACCACAAATATGTGTTATCGGGTGCCTGAACGAGAAAATCATTGACTTGTTCTAAGTTCTACACAGGGTGTGGCGTCTTTAGTGCAGAAAAAATAAAAGGCAGATTCCTGGGAATATATGCAATAAAAAAGCCTTAAAACGAGCGTTCAAATAAAAACGTGGTCAAGTTGGTTCTGAAAATTTGGACGTAGGGCGTAGCGTATAGCAAATGAACTTAAACGTCATCTGTCAAAGCGCTATATCGCCGCTATCAATTTGAATATTTTCGTTTTAAAAAGCGTTTAAAATGGTGTTTTCTCAAGAACAAAAAGTGTTTATCATAGAGTCCTACTTTAGAAATGGACGCAAGATTGATGGAATATGGAAGTATTCTATTGAGGAATGTTTCATAGAATTTCAAAATCAATTTCCCGGCGTTGTTGAGTATAAAATTTTTCAAAGTGCAGTTCAGTTTTGTGTTAATGTTTTTCGTAAAACGGGCAGTGTAACAAGAAAAGAAGGAAGCGGCCGACCTAAAAATCGGACTGAAGAATTAAAAGAAAATGTCCAACAAATAATGGAAAATGCTCCAAGAACTTCTGTACGTGTTTTATCACAACTGGTGGGAGTATCAGTGGGTACCTGCCACACAGTGTTAAAAAAAGATTTGCGTTTGTTCTCCTATCGTTTAACTTGTCAGCAAGAACTTCATGAAGTTGATTTTCCGCGACGGGCTGTATTTTGTGAATGGTTTTTAAACAACTACGGTGAACTTCATAATATCACCTTTTCTTTCTGATGAAGCCTGGTTTCATTTAAGTGGTTACGTAAACTCACAGAATATGAGAATGTGGTCTTCTGAAAAACCAGATAACTTTTTTGTCGAGGGCCCTCTACACGCTCAAAAAATTGGAGTTTGGTGTGCTCTCAATCGAAGGAGGATTTATGGACCTATTTTTTTTAATGGTACTCTTACTGCGCAAAGGTATAGAGAAGAAATTATCGCTCCTTTTGTTAACCAGCTGGAAGAAAACGAAATTACAAACTTTTACTTTCAACAAGATGGCGTAAGGGCACATACAGCAGGCGAGACGATGAATATGTTGAGGGAAGTTTTCCAAAATCGACTAATAAGTCTCAATGCTGAACATGAATTTCCACCGAGGTCATGTGATATTACGCCGTGTGATTTATTTTTGTGGCCTTACCTTAAAAACACTATTTTTGAACGCCTATTCCTGATTTAAACCATCTGCAGGCTCGACTTATAGAAAAGATTCGTGAAATTAACAATACCCCGAGCATCTTAGAAAATGTCTTTAATTCTTTGAGGAACAGGTGTGAAAAGTGCTTGGAACAAGGAGGGGGGCACTTTCAGCAGCTGCTTTAATTTATTGTTATAACAGGGAGGGGGACACTTTCCGCAGCTCCTTTAATTGTTTGTTATTGTTATCACGATTATTCTTTAAAATAAAGTTATATAGTCATTAACGTTATCGAAACTGACAGCTGCTATACAGCTCGTTGAGAAATGAGATTAAGTTGGTCGCTATAAGCTACTCCCTACGTCCAATGTGTCAGAGCCAACTTCGACCACGTTTTTATTTGAACGCTCGTTATAAGAAATTAATATATCCACGTTTTGTAAAGAGAATTGAACTTCAATTTTGTAGAGAAGAAATAAATCTTAGTACGGTCCTGTTCAAAAAAATGTCATGCCATTCGATTAACATCAGCGTACGCTTGCCGAACCGAACTTAACAGAGAGTCGAGCCTTTGCGCAAACCAGTGTTGCCAAATTAAAATGTATGAAATACACACAAAAGAGATAAAATGTTTTAATGCAATAATAAATAATTTTGGCCAGTTTCCAATCCTCTCATTTTAATTAAAAGGAAAAATAAACATTCAATTAGTTATTTCACTGTAAATGATAATGTACAGACAAGAGGTTTGTAAAAACAAAGTGCATGTTGTTACAGAAAAGACTACTATTATTTTAGCAAGTGATAGGTTGGATCACGACAAACAAAAAAGATGCAAACTTACCGCTATTATAACTATCACCATGTCAGGACGTTCGATAGTAGTAAACGTATTATTGTTGTCCTCGTTATCCATTGGCAATTTAGTTAAAACAATAACTTAAAAAATAAAAAATAAGAAACGTCTTTAATAAACAGCAGAAGCGCGATCTTTTTGACACAACTTAGCAGCAATTCGCCCGCAAGTCCTGACACTGACTGACACTCCACAGGTGTCGTGACTGTCGTGCGGAGTGCGGACTAGGTCAATGTTTTTTTGCGCGATGTTAAATAGGACCGGCATTAACATTTTGTCACTTCTTGTAATTTTTTGGAAAATATTTTTGATACTCAAATCTCATAATCACCTTATGGTAGCATATATTATTTTACTTCATTTATTGTCAAGAGTCTAGGTTTTTAATTTTCTGCATTAAAGACGCCACACCCTGTATATCGTTCTCTATGAAAATAGTTGACTTAATCATTGAGTATTCACTCCAAAAAGTCGCCGGTGACTTGACTTCTCCATGAAATATGCTAGCAGTGACATTTCAGAAGCACCAGTATTTTTGTTCTGGCACCATTCTTTGAAATTTCTATGTGCTCGTACATATCGTACTTTCTATTTTTGGGGCCATAAAAATCCGCAGGCAGCATTTGCTGCACTTTCTATTTGAAAGTCACTCATTTAGAAATAATAATTCAAAACCAGGAAAATTGGAACATTTATGTAGCTTTGTTTATAAACACCTTAGACACGACAAAATCCGAACAACCAAGGAGACTTTGCAAGATTTCGAATAATGTCAAAATGAATTGATTAAGAATGGTCAAAAAATAAAACCTAATCTTTATTTCATAAGCCATAAAGAATTGTGGGAGCAGATAAAATGTTATGCATCTAGGGTTACCAGATCTATTTCATGACAGACCCGGAGACATGACCCGTTTGTATAATTGATGACTAAAAAAAGGTTAAGTAAGAAATCGATGTCTGTTTTCTGCGACAAAGAAAACCCGGAAAAATTACATGTTAACCCGGAACCCGAAGATGTACCATCAAAACCCGAAGACTCCACGCAGCAGTTAAGTATAATTTACCAGTTTCGGACTCTACTGCCAGCCCTTGCTCCGCTCGGGCGCAAAATCGTCCTCGACTGGTAAATAATACTTATCTCCTTCATGGTGTAAATAACTATTTCTCATTTACCCTTTAACTTTTTGTTTATCTGAATTTCTTTATATTTTTAACTGTTTGGTTAATATTCACTAAAATGTGACTTAAAATTCGGTAGCATTTTTTATGCGGTGCGTGCTAACAACGTGAACAACTGCGAAAAGTAAATCGTCATATAAGAAAGGTAATAGAAGAATGTATAAGGAGAGATGGCGGCTACACTGAAGTTAAGAAAATAAACTGAGTTATACCTATTTTTTTATCCAGTCTGTATTAGCTTATTTACATTTGTATTAAATGAATTTTCTGTACAACCCTGTATTCGATTTGGATGAAACTTGCCGTGGGTATATTTTCGATGATACTGATTAAGACTAAGGCATCAGCATTTCCGTATTTTATTCGCTAATAAAAAACACCGAAAAATCGATCCCCTTTTAATTTCCCCTAACGCACGCCTATGGATATATGTAAGTTTAGTGACCCTCAAATGTGCACTCCATTGGTCTCCTTAAGTGGTTAAAATTTGAAAAGGATTCGTCAATTAACACCTGAATTATAGGCCTGTGTCACCTAAATCCTGATGAAGAAACAAAAATAAAGTTTCGAAACCTGAAAACTAGCGTGGCTAGCTTTAAATAAAGCTATAATAATATGCTCTAAGTCTGATGACCTAACCGACAAGCGAGACAGACACAAACTTTTTTTTGTTTTTGTCACAGAATCGCCTGTACAATTTTGTCGGTGGAATATTGTAACATCCTGGGGAATATTAGTCTGCAATATAATGTTAAAATTAAATGCTATTCCACATTTAAGAAGCTGCACCATTTTAATTGTTTTTTCAAATCGATATGTTTATTCAAATTATTAATAGGCGAGAACCAAAAATTAAAGAACTTGCTTAAAAATGATTCATATTCCATAATGCGACTACGGTAAATACAGAAACTTCATAAATGTTTACAATCCACGTGACCAGTAATTTTGTTTGGAATAATTATTTTATTTTCTTCACATTGGCAATTAAATTTAGGTAAAATTAAAACAATAAGATCAAGATTACATTAAAATATAACATTCTGCTTCACCGGCTGGCGATTGGCGCAATTTTTCACGAGATTCTATTCGCCCAATCAACGACCGCATTATCTCGAGTGTAGCCGCAATGGTTTGTCCTTGTTCATCGTAAACGAATCATTAATGCTGGTAACGCAAATATTTAGGGATTTTTCGTTACCAGTACCAATCATGTATGTTGGGTTGCCTAAGCTCGGCGGTCACGTGGCTTGTAAACATTTATAAAGGCCCTGTATTTTAGATTACAAGTTATATAGGTACATATACCCAATATTTTTAAGACATTTTGACAGAATCAGACTGTTTCATTATTATAACTAAACATCTAAACATCTAAAGTATTTTATAGAACATGGTATATTTTTTCTCACACGTAGCATTCTATAAAAGCACACTTGATAATACCGTTCCCTTAAATTTATTACTCGCTTACCTTTTCTTATTATCTGAAGAATTGAAAGCACTAGGCAGTTGTGGTAATGGGGGTGGCGGAATGCTATCACACGAACCGTTTGAATCCTCCAGATCTTTAACGTCGAAAGTATTGTTGCTGGTGACCACCATTTCCAAATTCCTAGGCTTCTGCTGGATGCTCCTCCGTCGCGCTCCGAACGTTGGAGAAGACTCCAAACGCTCCACCTGGGGCACACTATCAGTGTCTCCCATGTAACCTTAAATAAAAAGTAGATCTTTTTTTATCTAAACAACTCAACGGATCTTTTGACTTACCACTGATATGACTTCCAACTCCCGAATCTTCAGTGAGGGACCCGTCCTTTGATGAAGAATCCTCGACGTGTTGCTGGTACATTCCCGCTACGCGTCTATTGTTGTTGGCGAGAGTTTTGGCTGTTTTTGTTTCTATCACACGGATTGGCTCTGGACGAGGTAAATTTGTGGATTGTAGAGTAAATCTTCCAACCTGTAGTACAAGAAAAGTAATGTGAGTGCAAGCTATATTATTTTAGCAGGGAGCGAACATTTAACATTAGCATGACAATAACATTTCTTTTAATGGAGGAATGTAATAATCAACACGTGGTTTTAAAGATTTATTAAAAGTGCCATAGTTTTTCGGATTGTCATGCCGTGACCTATGTACTTGGTCACCGCTAGTTGTATATTTGCAATGCACTTTGGAAATCACTATCTGAGAGACGGTTCCGTTCAATTAGCCTTAGAACCAACAATAAGAACCGAAATCAAATCAGAGCGGGCTTAGGAATTCTCATACACAGCGTCTAACCCGAGAACAGTAAGGACGGGTCAAAGATTCTTACCAATGCTAAAGATGTACACAGGCTACGGCATACTCGGAAAATCATGGTACTCTAAATAAATAATTAACCGGTGTTATATGGGTACGTAATGTGGATAAAACGAAAGTATACAGGGTATAGCCGAACTTACCTTAGTCCAAAAGTTGATAGTTAAAGAGATACAGGGTGTTAAATATAAAATATTATTTTAGTTTTTGTTTCATTTATTCCTTAACAAATGCAGATATCCTCACAAAATTTTGGGGTTTGGAGTTCTTTAAGTAGAGGAATTGAAATCTGTTCACATTTTAGTTAAAGTTCATAGAGGGAGCTAGTCGCAGTAGATTGAATGTGTTCAAAACGACATAACTTTTTTATACTTGGTATCTCATCTTTGGTATCAAATATATAGTTAGTCTAAGTCTAAGGTCTAAGTCTAAGATAGTTTAGTGGATATTTGCATTTATTAAGAAATAAATGAAAAAACTTAAATAATATTTTACATTTAACACCCTGTATCTTCTAAACTATCAACTTTTGGACTAAGGGAAGTTCGGTTAAATCGCAATATTTTTGCTTAGGGAATCTACCCATGAATTTTGGCCCATTAGCTAGGGACTACCCTGTATACAATCCGTACGATATTTGTTGAGATAGAATTCCAAGAATGCAGTTAATTCCAAGAAAACGACGCAGGGGCCTTCTAGGAATTCCATCTCAAAAAATATCGTACGGACTGTATAGTTTATCACCGGCCAATGGATCTGACATGGATGTCGTTCTTTGCAATGAATCTAGCGAGTAAATCAACACACCAGAAGACAAATCATTTGCCCAAACAAAAACCATTTACATTCTCTGTTTGGTTTTTTAAGAAAAAGAAGATATTAAAGAAAAAGATATTTAAATCGGTAACAGCGTAAAACTTTGACACTGAAAAAGTACTGTTCATCTCTTTCTGATATAATAGGCGAATAGATCTACTCTGGTTCATTATAAGAAAAAAGAAAGATGTTATGAACAGTCTGATCACCTAAAATAACATTTGGAACTGTTACAATCAACAATATGAATTCTCTGAATTAGTTTTGGGACAAATATTTAGATGATGATGAATTTAAAGTAATGAATTTCTGTACAACTAAAAACATTACTTTCTGATTTAATAAAAAAAAGTGTTCTTTAAGTGTATTGGAAAAGAAGGAGATTGCGTAATAATAAATATAATCTAATCGAAATCCCAAAATATTTAATTTACTGTTTTTTCAAGAGCTTTTATACAAGCTGCTAAACAATGATTCCTGTAATTTACGTTAAAAAACATGAAAGTGATGTTTTGAAGATAGAGTAAATTCAAGAAGTGTGGAGAGACCTGCAAAATGTTGCTTTTCGGTCATCTAATGTACAGTTTTTTTACGACCGACGCCATGATACAATTTCATTTTTTTCAATTTAATGTTTTTTTATAAACTTTCTAACAAATCTTAGATACAATTTCAAAGAGCAGTAAACCGCGAAAGAAATGATTATTGTTAATATTTATGTTAAATGTACAATTATGTGTCCATATTTGAAGGAAAGATGTGTCCGAAAGCGGGGAATTGTCACACTTTTTGTTGTGCTACTAACAAAATTGGCCTAGCCTGCATTTTCTTTGTAACATTCTTTTTTTTTCATATATTAACTTTGTTTTAGAAGGAATCTTGCAGGAAGCCTTCTGCTAGGGTGGAATATTCCCGTCCCCTTTGCCCTTTTGAATGTATAATATCGAAACTCTCATCTGCTAGCAGAGTCGCTAAGCTTCGACGAAAGCAGGGCCTGTGAACTTGCCTGAATTTTTAAATCCGAGGTAGGACGGGATTTTACAAGAGGCTTTTCTCACATAATCTATTTTTACAACTTGGGTTGAACACTTTCCCCTTTTATAAAATATAAATAACATATGAACAAACTACTAGCTACGACATGCATCTGCGGATCCCATGATTAAGAAACCTAAAATATAACAAAACTTATTGCAACCAGTTTTTTTAAAGTTTTTTTCTTTCTAGCAAAAACACTATCGTGAGCGTTATTCACAGAGGTTCCAACTTATTCTCTATATTTTTTTTGCGGGCGCCATAGATTTGAGCTTATAAATCAATGGTATAAACTCCATAAGGTCGAAGAGGCTAGTTTTTCGAATGTTGCAGCAACATAAATCATAAGACTTCTTCTTCTACATTTTTACGATTTCTTTTCTTGGGACAATCCATAAACGTCTCACACACCTTCTTGTAACAAACCTTTTCATTTCTTGAAATTTCATTTAAAACTTCAACATCTAAATTCATACTTTTAAACTTGCAAATTCACTTTCGAAATCTGGTAAAAATTATCACATTAACTATTATTTGACTTAAACAAATAACACCAATTCGTTTCCGCAGTAATCAGGTCAAACTTTTCCTTAATTTTACAAATTCTTCGCATACAAATTGACTTCTTCAAATGATGAAATTTTTAATAATGTCAATACCCTGGGAATTTTGTTGAAAGAGTTTTAAGAATATTAAAAGTAAAAAAAAATATGTCAAACGACAACGGGAAATCCATGATAAAAGTTGCATATATGCCTGTATCATCATAAAGGAGAAGGTAACCATCATCTACATCGCCATTTATACATTAGCATCATCTACATCACCATTATCTACATTACCATCATCTACATCACTATCATATACAAGTATAACATTTCAGACTACTAATGCTTTACGGACTTATTTTGTCAGATTTATAACGAAAACAGATTGATTTTCGAAACGTCGACTCATTAAAGTACGCAATATAGATTGATGTATTTTTTATTTTTCTCCTTTTTTCATTGTCATAAAAAATAGTCCTTGACTGATCCTTTTAGAGCAAGGGTTTTTGAAATATTTTTTTTTTCTCGCAGGTGGTAAAATACCCAAATAAATAAACAAATAACATACTTGCATAAACTTAGGCCAGATACTATTAAGTATTTATTTCCCATATGACATTCAATTAATTTTTTATTAAATTTTAAAATCTTACATTAAAATAAAGTTACTTCATTTTATTAAATAATGACGTTTTCGAAAAACATAATTAGTTATAGATAAAAAACTTAATTCATTTATGCAATTTATTATATTAGTAGTAGTATTATCAGGGTCATATGGATAGAAATCTAAAATTTATGCATACATTCAATCTTGTTTAATTTTATTAAAAGTTAAAAGAAATTTGCAATTTTCGTATCAGCTTTTAAGACAGATATATATTTTGAAATAAATGGTAGCAACATATCTATAATTAATTATTGCTGCTAAAATTAATAATTGATAAATACTACTATGTATCTGTTTATCAAACCTAGAGTCCCTATCAAACCTACTTAGAGAATAACAGTAAACACTCACAATCATTTAAAATAATGATCATGTAAGAATGCTGTTTCATAGAAAATCGTTATATTATTCGATGATGTAATATCAAATGTTAAAACAGTTTAAGTGTACTAGTATATTTCTTTATATTGTATGAATATGCTCAATATAATATAATACAAATTTAAATATAAACCCACTAAATCTTCTATGAAGTAAGTAGTATATCTATGAGCTGGATTTTTGATTTTTCAAATGAAGATGCTTGCGATATCTTAATTTCCCTGACTGTTGTCAGTTGTTTTAATATATTTTTATTTTTATAATCTCCAAAAATTTATTATTCCAGATATTTCAGGAACTACACACAATATTCTTTCCTTAAAAATGACTTTATTACACAAAATACTTAAACATAACAGCGCTTCAAATTAATCTAAGAATACCAAAACACCTAATCCCAAGATCTCCTCTTCTTCTTCTATGACGTATACAAATTCGAGCAAAATTTAAACTTTAAAACAGGTTACTACAATATATTGTTAAATAAAGAGTATTTACTCGTAATTTTTTTATAGTCACTTTGCGTTTACCTTTCACTGTTTGTAAAAGGAATTTACTTAAGAGTTACGGTTTTTTAAATTTAAGAATGCACAAAAACGAGGTGGAACCTTTCGACTGTTGCAAGAAGCTATGCAGATTTACTGTTTACTGTATTGGTTTTACTAAGGTTGACTTTTATCGAATACAAAAATATTTTTTATCAATGTTCTTTACATGTTACATATTTGAGTATTATTTTAAATATATTTTTCATTGTTATAAAACAATGGCCTGTAAAACTGCACCTGGAAGTTGTACTACTGTTAATACTGAATTGTAGCAAGAAAATATTGGTTCTAACTTTTTTACTCAAATAATATTGAAAAGATATGTGTTATCAGAATTTATTTAAATTATTTAAACTAAAAGTTGAGCAAAATGTGACAAAAAAAAATAGGAATTTTCCCAATACAGTTCTAGAATTTTGTAATTCGGAAATTAAGGATCTATTGGCTTTCAGAGGTATATAGTGTGTATCAAAAATTCACAAATGATTCGAAAGCTACAGCTAAAATAAGTTTTAGTGATAATTAAAATACCTATCTACAATTTTGACCCAGGGTTTTTTAAGTGGTCGTTGCGACACTCATCCATAATGGGAAAACGATGACATATTTACTGAAACAATGATAGAACGTTCACTATAAATACATTCTATCATGTATTATTTTGTTGCCAAGCTGGCCATTAGCAGAGGCTAGTCGCATAAATGTACATATATCTTCGATACACCGGATTTAATCGCAATGAAGCGCCAAAGTAAATATTATATCAAATGGTAACTTAAAATTATTTATGTTTATCGATGTGCATTTATTTACACAGTTTCTAGAAAAATAATTCTAATAGACGAAACACACACGATGTATTTAAGGAAAGAAGACGAAATTTCTTTCAAAGTATTTCACGTTTATAAAAAAATTCTGTAGACATAATATGCGAAATCGAGATTTATCGTAATTTCTCACGGCCAGAAAAAGAAGCACACCTCATTTCTAAAGTAACAATCACGTTCCAATAACCCAGTTCCAGTGAATATTCAAATCAATCAATGAAATATGCCGTCGTAATACGACGCCTGCCAATCAGTCTACTCACCTGCGGCTGTGGAATCCCGACCTTTATCGTTGCTCGCGCCCTGTTATTTTCCTGGCCCGTCGAGGCGTTCCTGCCTACCGAAATAGTCCGCTTGGCGGCGTTGTTGTTCCCATTCTGGATACCGAATTCCGCGGGGTTGCTGCTATTCAGGTCTGCTACTTTATTTAATCTACTGCCTTGACCTTGCCTGGAATAGAATATAAAACAATTATTTTATTTTAAGCTTCTAAAAAAGGTGATTAAAGATAGGTAGGTACCCATATCAGAAAATATATTTTAAGCGAAACGTAATAAAATTCTTTCCGTGGATAAAAGGAAACCAATTTAATCAAATTACTTTCAAGGGAAGAAGTGGATAAGTAACATTAAAAAGGTTTTTCCGTGCACAAAATTATTACATACCTACATACGTATATACAGTACGCGCCTAAAGTATGGAATAAATTCAGTAAATTCGAAACAATTTTTTTTTGGGAAAAATCCTCGAACAGGTCGATTTTTAATTTTAAAAATACATATTTTAGCATAAAAGGCGATTTTCAACCGTCATTTGTTATTGAGTAATGACGACATTGGCATTTTTTTTTAAAGCAACCCCCTATTTTTTTTCTTGATTCTGAAAGATCGTTTCATTGTCGATCCGACAGTATTAAAATGTTGCCATCTTACATAGGAAATTTTTCGAGTAAATGACGATTGAATGTTAGAAAACCCAAATCAATTAAAGCAAAAACGTTATCAAATTTAGTTTTTCGAAATGCTTGAAGTTTTTTATGAATCACATAGGTGTAAATCTTTACAAAGTGTCACTGTCATACCGACTTTCTAAGTATTGTAAGCGATATAAAAATTATTGTTGAATTTAAAGTATTATGGCACATTTAACTGTCACACAAAGAATTGAAATTTTAATTCTTATCGGATGCGGGGATAAGACTAGAACGCAGCAGGAAGTTTGCGATTTATTTAATGAAAAACA